TTACAATTTCAGAAGAGAAGATAAATTTATTAAGAAGTTATGGCCTGAAATTGGTTACAGATTATTGAGTAGTATGGGCCACCTCTCGCAGCTATATAAGCTGAAATTTGGCGTGGCATCGAATCAAGTACGTCACCTATGTCACCATGTGAAAGATCATGCCATAATCTTTGCAACTGTGCGGTAAATTCACCAATATTCTAGGACAGCTGAAGTTGCCTTTCCTTTTTCCTAACATATGCCTCATGCTCTTTAACATGAAATTTTAAGACTGTCTTAGTTTGACCAAGGTAAATTAAACCACATTTTTAAGGAATCCGGTAAATAAACCACAAATTCATATCCAGAATGGGGTCCTTAAGTGTGGAACTGAGAATTTTATCAATAGAATAGAAAAAAAGACCGAAAGTTTAATTTCTGTAAAATACATGCAATTTTATAGCTAATGGAGATAGGATGGACAACAGATTTCATATAATATCCTAAAATGAGAGTGTGCCTTTTGATGTGTTAAGATGAGAATATTTTAACTGCCTGGTTAATAATGTTAGGTGAAAAGCCCTTTTCAATAAAAATGGCTTTTTAATAATTTAGTTCTTGATCAAGAGCCAGTTTGGAGGAGCAATCTTGAAGTGCACATAAAACAAAGGAATAAAATGAAGCTAACCTTAGTCAGCTGACATGATTTGAAGTGTGGTAGAAGGCAAACCAGTGAACGTTTTCCGTAAAAGTAGTACTGAAGTTGGATGTGTGTTATCTGCGATCAAAATGTCGAGAAATGGAAAAGAATTGGGTGTCTGAAGCTTAAAAGTGAACTGAATAGCGGTATCAGTGGAACTGATCCTGCTATTCCTGCCCTTGCATTTAAATTCCAAAACCTTCTTTCACCGTCTTCCAATTTAAGTAGTTCAAAAAATTCTTCCCATTGTAAACATTAAGCCAATAGTTAATATTTCTAGAGTTAGTTTATCAGAAGAACAAGAATGAATTCTGAAATATAATTTTAACTTCTCACAAACTTCAGATCACATCCAGTTCACTACAATGTTACAGCGTTTCATTTTTAAGATTTTTGGTCATATTGAAATAAAATTTAGTCAAACTTCAGATACACAGAAAGAAATGATTAAGGTATCTTAACGCCTGTAATGGGAAATTCAACAGCTAGGCCTTTGAAACAATCTAAACTCGATAGAAAGAGCTACAATGTGTGAAACTCATTCTAACCAGTACATTATCATTTCAAAGTCTGACAAAAGTGGCCAGATAGTCATGGACAAGAACACTTACGTCAATGGTGTCACTAAACTCTTAAACAAAGGACTGTATAATCTGATCCTTAAAGACCCACCTTTGGACCTCTCAAAAATGAAAACTATGCTCAAATCTTCACAAATCCTTCCGACTCACTTAAAACAATCACTTATCCCATTTATTGCGAATTGGGCCAGATTATATGCTCTTCTCAAAATTCATAATAGTGGTATACCTTTCTGCCCTATTGTATAAAATTTAGGCACTGTCTCAGACCTATTAGCTAAATATTTAGTGTCTAGATTTTCAACTCTATTAGATAGTAACATTTGCACCATAAATAGTTCAATAGAGTTTATAAATAAAAGTTAAAAGCATTTCTCCTAGAAATTTACTCACGGTTTCTTTTGTAGTAAAATCATTATTCACCAATGTCCCAGTTGAAGATGCATTAAGATGTCTCAAAACAGTGTGAATTTCATTTCGAATTGATGAGCTAATTTCCCTTACTCTGTTTGAAACAAACACATTTTGTTTTCCAAAATAAGTATTGCAAGCAAACTGAAGAATTAACCACAGGAAGCCCTCTTAGTCCCATCCTTGTTGGTATCTACATGCATTATTATGAATCAAAATTGCTTGAAACTTTAAACTTCCCAGCATGGTTCCACTATGTAGATGATAATTTTACCCTATTTGACGGTAATAAAGATGATTTAAATGAAATTCTTTCAATAATTTATAAGGTATTCCTCCCATCTTCTTGGCATACCTTCGTGGTGTGGTGGTCTGCATGCTGGGTGCATATTCCATAGCTCTGTGGTTCAATTTCCGGTGAAGGTGGTTGCTCATTTTTCCTTCTTCCAAAAAATACCTAATGTCTCTACAAATGAATTCAATTGATCCTTCTATTCATTTCACTTTTGAACTTGAGACATCCAATTCTCTTCCATTCTTCAACATTTTGATCACATGTAGCGTATCCATATTCAGTACTATTGTTTACCATAAACCTTCATTGGTTTGTCTTCCACCACACTTCAAATCATGCCATCTGACTAAACAAAGGTTACCTCCATTTTATTTCTTTGTTTTCTGTGCATTTCAAGTTTGCTCTTCCAAACTGGCACTTGATCAAGAACTAAATTTTTTAAAAGCAGTTGCTATTGACAGGGGATTTTTCACTTAACATTATTAACCAAGCAGCTAAAAAATTCTGATCTCAATGCATGAAAAGACGCACTCTCATTTTCATTCCTTCTTTCCATCAATTGGCTATAAAATTGCAGGTCTTTACAGAAATTTTACTTATTGGTTGTTTTTTTCTCTTATAAATAAAATTCCCTGTTTCATACTTGAGAACCTTATTCTGGATATGAATTTTTGGTGTGTTCACAGAATTCCTTGAAAATGTGGTTTAATTTACATTGGCCAAACTAAGAGAGCTTTAAAATTTTGTGATAAAGAACATGTGGCATATGTTAGGATAAAGGAAAATCGGAAATCCCGTTGCCCTGCACTGTTGATCTGAAAATCACACTTTCCATTTTTCTGCATCCAAAATTACTCAAGAAACATCTTCCATTGGTGAATTAGAATTTCTAGAGGCATTTCACATTCAAAAAAATCTTTCTGTGCTAATTAATGACCCTTATTTCAATCCTTGCTTACCTTCAGTCTTTAAGGAAATTATGTTTTAATTTTCTTGTTTCTTCAATAGATGACGCTGGTAGCTTAACTTTCGTCCAACTATTCATATCTTATTTTATCACCATATCTTGTTCATATGCACTTAGGTAGCTGAGGAAGATGATTCTATAGTTAAGCCATTGAAACTAGTCTTGCAAAATTTAGAAATATTATGCTGATTCTTGTTGTTGGATTTCTTCGATAATTAGTAAATAGGTTAAACAAGTTAAAATCTCTTGAAATTGTCAGATTAAAAAGACAAACATTTTGTAGTGTCACAGGCCTTTTTATCTTTAAGGTTTTTAAGGTAACCGTTTATTATGATTTTGATCTTTACTTAAAGTTCTTTCTGTATTCCTCACCAGAATGCAAATTAGTTGTTTGGTGTATTTAAGGTAAGATTTTGGGACCTTGAGAGAGAGTGTGTGTTTCTGGTGTGTGGGCTACATGGGTAGATTCTGCTAGTTCTAGTGAAATATAACTAACTCTGCTTTGCTTTCTATTGATATTTTAATCTGATATGATGGTTATTTATTGAGCTAGCTTAGTGTTTAAGTGTGTAGTCTTAGATTATGGATTAATGTGTAATTTAAATCGACTGTTCTTATATTAATTTGTAGTTCCACAAGCTGTGGTTATCTGTAGCACAATGCCCTTATGCTGTACCTTTTTTTTTTTTTTTTTTTTTTTTAATCAAAGTTCATTTTAAATTGTTTGTAAGACTTTGTTGAATGTGTCAGATATAGCGATAACTCGGTACGTGTCTGTTAAGATTATAGGACTAAAGTAGCAGTACTAGACGAAATATAACCATATGTATCTTTTAATATGATTGTCTGAATGTCATTTTTTTAAAAACCAGCATAAATTTTATGTGAAATTATGTTTGAAGCTGCAAAATTTCCTTACAGTGTGATTTAAATTATACTTTTAGCAAATAACTTTTTAAAAATAAAACATTTTTGGTGACCATACAAATCTTTAAAATATGTTTGACTCTTTCAAAAACTGTTTATTTAAAATGGGCAGAACTCATCAGTCATTTAGATATACCATCACTGAAAATGTTGCCCGGGCAGTGACTGAATTACACCAATAAGAGAAGTTCCATCCCAGTTTTGATGTAAAACATATCGGGGGAATGGATCCAAGGTCTCACCGCTGAAACTCTGACTTTAGGCTCAACAGTATTTTAAGTGCTTCCACTGTGCAACGATATTGGCACTTATAAGCATTCATGCCTTTTCCTGAATGCCTAAGCATTTGGCTCCTTTACTACCAAGATATATTGGTGTTTTCAAACTTGTTTTTATGATTGCGGTGTTTAACAATAATGCATCTTTTAATAGTAGTGCGCTTTACCTGTTTTTGTTGTATCCTTAGAATGATATTTCAAGAGTAAAAGGGGTTGCATAGATAATTTCTTCATTTCTGTTTGCTGAGAGGTCCCTAATTTTTTACTTTGGTGGTCCTTAAAAATCTTCAAAAGCCCTTAATTTACATTTAAAAAATGGGTATATTAATAATGTAATTGTGTATGGTTTTGTTGACAAGAGAATAAAGATGGTTTTAAAATGCAGCAAAAAGTGAAATATGATATAAACCTTTCACATGCTTCTTTGATAGCAGAATCTAAAGTGTTCCAACACTTTTGACAGCCAGTCTTATGTTATAGTATTCCAAATAAATGAAGGAATTCAAATTATGTTGTGTATTTGCAAATCGGGTTCAAATGACATTGGCACTTTTTTTGAATTTGACCTCAGCATTAAAATTTGTATAACATATCCACACAGATAGTTGAAGTTTGCAGAAATGTAGATGAAATGATAATTATTCATGTATTTAATCCTGAAGGTCTGTATTTCACTTTTGATGTTGATTAGATTATTCGTCGCACAAGTTTTTATTTGAGTATTTTCAGAATTATTTTTAATAATTTAAAATTTAATTTATTTGCATGTAAGTATTTATTTAATGTTTATAATTAATACATTTTGTTGAACATGAAGGTAAGCAGTTATATAACGTAGCACTTATATGACAATCTATTTTAGAAAAAATGCCGTCCACGTCCCACTTACATGCTGAAACAACCAGATATCTCACATAATATGCGCAGTGTCCTTGTTGATTGGCTTATAGAAGTAGGGGAAGAATACAAACTTCAGGCTCAAACTATACATCTTGCTGTTTCCTACGTTGATCGATTCTTGTCACGTATGTCAGTTTTGCGAGGGAAATTGCAGCTGGTTGGAACTTCGTGTATGTTTATAGCAGCGTAAGTTTTTTTAGTTAATATACCTTTTTGTATTTTTAAAAGTTATAAGGTATGTTTAATCTTTGAAATCATTGCTTTCAATGAAGATTTAATTTTAAATTATTAAAGTGATATAAAAGCATAACATAATGCTTTTAGTAAAGGATTTAAGGTACTTTAATATAATAATCTGTTGTGTACATCATATCAGTCTGCATCTAATAATATTAGATTTTTATAGTATGCTCCTTTTTATAACCTCCATAACTGAAACTCTAGGTTCCACTATTGTTTTATCTGTTGCACAGTACACCCCCACCAAGCTTAATGCAGCTGCTCAGATGCTTTCAGAACTTCCCCAGTTCAAAGCTTGTATGCAGAATATGTTGAGCTATTACTGAAATTAATCTTTTATTTGTTACAACTACAGGCAAATTTTGCTGAGTGCAGATGTTGCAACATTAATACATAGCGCATGCGGCAAAATTGTGTCTTACAAAGTTGACTTTCTGTGGATAAAAAGTGTTTAGTATAATTAAGATTAAAAAAGTTTTTGTAATTTACAGAAACCTAACTAGTGCTCTAACTAAAAGGAAACAAATGTTAACTGAAATGATTTTTTTTTATTGCTTAACAAGTACACTGCGCACAAAAAGGGGGGACTGTTTTATATGTCCCGTTTTACTGGGCCAATTTCATGTCTAGAAAGCGCTACTTAGGATATGTATTAGATTTATATATAGCATTGTTCTGATATAGGTACTTTGACACAAAATCTGACTTTTTCTTAAATGGCATGCCAGTTTTTTTTTCCATATTTCCATTGCCACTCAAATTATGCCAAAGTGCAAAGTTTTGTAAAAAACTGCATGAGTAGTTATTTTAAAAAATTAGCTCTCAAAATTTTAGCTCCTCAGTGTTAATTGAACTTCAGATATATTTATTACTATCTCTTTTTTTTATTAAACTTACTTGATTCCTTCTTCCAGAATTCAAAATTTAGGCTTAAGCCAAATATAATTTGCACATTTTTTATGATTTAATTTTAAAAAAAATTTAAATATTAAAAAACTTTTTTTGAAAAAGATTTTGTGTTATAACGTAAAAAAAAAAATTTTAATGTCAAGTAGATGTATTTCTAGGCACACTGCAAAAAATTAGAATTTTTTAATAAAAAAATTTCTGAGATATACATGAATTTACATATTAGAGGGTTTTGAAATTCGGCATCCTTTTTTTTAAAGCGATAATAACGCCAAATGATTCCATTTTTTTATTAATGTTCTTATAATTTTTAGACCCTAAGTTTTTTTACTTCATGTTCAGTTTATTAGTTCTGTCATTATATCAAGTAAATTGTGACATAATCCATAATTTCAAATAAGCCCTGAATGTAAAATATCCAAAGCTGCAAATAAAATAAGAAATTTTATAAGTTCCCAAGACTTTTTACTTTATTAACAAAAATAAGGAAAACATATCAAAAATCATTGTTTCATTGAGAAAATATCCTTTCTATCCTAGGCAAGCAATGTATAGAAGAGGTAAATTAAATAATTAAAGTGAAGGGTATTTATTAGTAACACAAAAATGTTTTGATATTACGGCTGTATCCATATAGATTGCTCATAAAAACTGAATGTATATATAAACACATGCACGCACATATACATGCATACATAAAAATGCAAGTTTATGAACAGAAAAAAAAAAAAATTAACATTTATAATTCTTTTGCTTTAATGTCTTGATTTGCAGTTTTCCACAAAATTTTAATTTGGTAACATAATTCTTAAGCGGTCAATTACTGTTACATGTCGGATCACTTTCGAAACGGTAACCTTCTTGAAAACTGGCAAAGTTTTGACAGTGATTGATACTTTCGCAGCCGACACTAATCAGTTTACGTGATGATTCTCTGCAGGTGTGGGGGGTTAAAAAAACTACTTATTGCTTTCGGTGCATTAAGTGAAAGAGACATTCCACACTTTTCAAAAGCTTTGTTGACAAAGCTGCTAATGCTTTAGGAAACAATACAATCTTTCTCTCGGGACCTTGGGAGGTTTAAGCCACATAAGTGATAATATTATGTTTCTTTTTCATCTTTTCCAGAAGAGCAAAACTCTCAAACATTCTTTGTGCAAATTGTATCAAAAATTCATCTGCATGATGAGCTTCTGTATTGAAGATAAGGTTCAAAGCTTCTGCATTGAAGATAAGGTGAATATTATTAAACAAATACACAATGGAGGCAGCCAAATTGATATCTGCTAGAAATATAGTTTATCCAGACCAACAGTTAGCACTATATAAAAAATCTGATGTTCTAATTTTTGCTTATGAAAAAAAAATTGGATCCAAAAAAAAGTTGAGAAGTGGTGAGCATAGGGATGTTGAAGGTGTTCCTGAAATTGTTTGTCATTCAAAGAAGAAATAATCTGCCATTATATGGATAAATGCTTCACACTAAGGCCAATGACTTTGCCAAGTACGCTTGAGACATTGGAAAAGAATTAACAATAAATTAAATACCTACACTTAATAATTGCTTAACTATGATTTTTTTTCCTTTCCAAAATTGATTTATTATTAACTTCTGGTAGATGTGACAATGTTAGTCAGGTTTATATATATATTCTCTGTATCTATACATTTTTCTTTACGTACATTGATATTTGCAGTGTCCTGTATTTACCCCATTATGTTTTTTTGCATGCTTTTACATTATTACTACCTTTTTGAATGTTTTCGCTTTGCTACTTCTTTTATTAAGTGCAAAATTTCATAAACTGTCAGATTGCTGTGGGTGACAGGAACGTTGCATTAAAATATTTTCTCCTTATAATAATAAAATCAAAAATTAGTTATATTTGATTTAGGGGTTCAAAGATTGTCTTGTTAACTGTACTATTCATCAAGAGGGTTTTACTGTACAACATTTAACTCATTTCTTAAGTCCGTATGTAAATTAATTTTACGTTGTTTCAGAAATATGTTTTCCAAGTGCTATTGAATTATCTTAGGTGATGTACATATATTTTATATTTAATCAGTTTAGTTACAAATATTTGCTATTAGATAATCCCCACATCCTTTTTTTTAGCACTGGATAAAAAAAATTAAACATAAGCCTTCTTAAAATCGAATTCGAAATTTATTTTCGAATAAATTTCGAATTATTCGAAATAAGGAATTATTTCGAATTCTTATTTTGGGAATAAAGTTTAACTCTTCAAGAACATTGTATCTAAAATGTAATTTGGGAAAAAAAGCTGCACGCTGTTGCAGATAAATTTTTACTTTGGTTTCTGTTTACTGTTTAACTGGGAGTATCAATATATTGAAAAATGGAGCGTGATTTGCTCACACAGATGAAAATATTTTGAAACAAACAATTGTTCTGCTACTGCAGGGGTCTTGAACCACAGGACAATTCTCCTCTTGGTGTGGTTTGAATTTCACGGTAAATGTCATAAGTCGTTGATTTGTCTGTTAAACATTTAGTTTTAGTTTATGAATTAAAAAAATATTTTTATTCATGTTTTTCTATTTATCAACATTGTCTCTACTTTTTCTTGTTGGATTTTAAAACTGTAAACAAAAACAAGTTATAAAACTGTAATTAACAAATTGCAAAATAATCAAAACTTAAATCAATTTATGTGTATTTTTCAAGTTTGGGTAGAGAGGGAGTGGTTAAAGGATTGCATAGGGCAAAAAAAGTTTGAGAACCACTGTGCTATACTTTAGACTGAAATTCCAGTTTCATACGCCATGAAACTGCTCATAGTCTATTAGAATTGCGTCAGCATAATTGTTAGTTCTTAGCATTATTTTGCAAAAGATGTTTGAAATAACTGTTTACTAACTCTGTGTTCACTGTCTCTATATATTATTAATTTTGTCCCTTGTTCCTTGCAGAAAGTATGAAGAGATTTATCCTCCTGAATTAAAAGATTTTGCTTATATTACGGATGACACATACACAAAAAAGCAGATTTTAAGAATGGAGCATCTTATATTAAAAGTTCTAGCTTTTGACATTGCTCCTCCAACTGCATATTCTTTTTTGCAAATCTTTTGCTGTATGGCTTCTGCACCTCAGCTAGTGTCAAATTTGGCACAGGTATTGTATTTTTTTGTATCAATTTAGCTGTCTTGTTTTCAAATCAATTAGTATTATGAATAATTAAATGTTTGGAAAAAATTCATGTATTAATTTTATTCATATGGTAATATCCCAGTTAATGTTTAGTATGTGTTCCTAGAAATTGGGATAGAGGAATATGTGACCAAGAATATACAAAATTTATTTCAACTCTTTTTTTCCCCCATACTAAGATAATCAGCTCTCTCTCTCTATCTCTCTCTATATATATATATACACAGTATGAAGTCCGAGATCCAGATTCGTCAGGACTTCGGCGATTCCGGATTTGGGATTTTCCGGATACTAGATCATCAGTTTAAATCTAGTAAGATTGCATTGCAGAAATTGTAAAATTAAATAAATGAAATTGTGATTAATGAAGTAATGAACATTTATGATCTAAAGTGTATCAAAATTTACAAAAAAAAGCTCAATATTTATTTGTTTACTTTATTAAACATGTCTTTCAATGTAAGTTGTTTAAGTTGCTTCTTTTTTTGTGCTAATACTTTCTCTTTAATTATGTAAACGGACATAATTTTTTGTTTAATTACAGTGTTGAAGTCCTGTAATTGCTGTGTGGATAATTCCGACTAACTTCTCAATCGAAATTTTTTCGTTTTCAATAACCTGTCCCTTTCTTCATACTACAGATTTTGGCATGTATTAATTAACTGATGATTGAGGAGCATTGTCATCACAATGAAAAACTTTTTATATCATCTTCATTTAATACTGCTTTTCCACATTTCTTTACAAAATCCGTTAAGTGGAAAATTTCACCTTTTGTTTGCGATATCCGAAAATCTTTAAAATTCAGGGTTATTATTATAAAATTTAGTTATCATTCACTATACATATTTGGCTATGTATCATGAGATTGGCGACTAAAGACAAGTTGTTTCGCTAAATTTTATCTTTCTTCTATCGCGTGCTGAAACAATTAAACCTATTGAACTGTATTAGTTATTTATTATACTTATGTCTATTTCTTGCATATGTGTAAGGCTTATATGAGTTCTGAATAAATAAATTCCCACATATACTTAAAGCTTATTGAGGGCCGGTGCTAGATATCTTCCTGCCTAATGCAGTCTCTGTGGGTCCTAAATTCTGCTACCAAGTGCCTTCCCTAAATTCTGCCGCCTAGTGTGGCCATATGAGTCCTGGTGCTGGTTCTGGGTTCATGTGAATAACAAATCAGTTATTCTTAATTCAGCTAGCACTAAATGTAATCTTTTGGCCTTTGGGTGTCATTAAGAAAATGTATTTTTAGATTATGGAAAGAAATTATTGTTAAATTTTTCTTCGTCAACATTTCTTAGCACATTTATCTTAAATTTGTAATCATTGCCAAGCGTAATGTCAACATAAAGGCTATCATACTCTACATTATTCAATTACTAACATGAAAAATTGTTTAGGAATTGCTACATGAGTCATTATTCAAGCTGTCATATATTGATAAACATGCAGTGATGAAAGCAAAATATAATAAATAACGATTTATCAGGTTGGTGTCAGGGATATAAAATATTAGTAAGTGCAAAATCAACAATGTTATCTATGTAGAATGTTTCGGTTTGAAATGTACGCCAAGCAGATGTGCAGCAACTGAGCCAAATTACTGATCTCACAAATTTATGCTAAAATGATTGTTTCTTCAATAAAGAGGTATTTTATTTAGTGCCAAAGTAAAATTAAGAATCAGGACTCTCCATGTGTTTTATTATGTGCAAGGGGGATGAAATGCTCATGCGTAAAGCATACCCAAAAAAATTGATGGCTTTGATGTCCGGATTTTAGATCATTTCAGATATTGGATGTCCGGATCTCTGACTTTATACTGTATATGTATATGTGTGTATAAATATATTGTTGCATTTTTGTGGGTTCGTGGATTTGTAGTGATTGTCAACAACACTTTATGAAGCATGAAAACACAATTTATTAGTGAGTATTACTCAGGACAGCAAGTCATGGAATTTGAATATTTTAGTCAAAATCGGGAAAAATTAGGGAATTTCATACGGCAATCCTCATAAAAAAAAAGAGAGTTTTTTGCCAACGTTGGAAGCAATCACTTTCTTGGCGTCATTCGGCCAGCTGGCATAGAGCCAGTTTGTGCAGCTCCAATTAGATTGTCTTTTAAAAGGGCAAAGCAAGTTTCCAGCAACTTTGTTTTCAGTAATCTGGAGAATCGAGAGACTCGTATGTGCATGTGCAATGCATGTTGAACTAAAGAAAATACCAATTCTCGTATACAAAAAAATCAGTTTAATATACGGTACCAAGGAGGTTAGAATAGCCTCCATGTACGGTACACATGGGATTTGGCAACATTATCATGTGCAATAAATGGGTCATTTCAAAATTGTGCCAGGGCCGTAGCATATACTAGGATTCTACTGCAGAATCTTTTAAACCTTTTCTTTTTAATAAATGCTGTATTTGTCATTTTGCAATAAAATAAAAAAAATAGTAATCAATCACATAGGCTAACCATTTAATATAACTATATTCGGCAAAATATCATTGATTCTCTGGCATAATCCTGAAACTAATTCTAGCAGTATGATGACATACCATCATGAAATTTAATGCACACATTTTTTGCTTATGTATGCTACTAAATAAATATATAAAATACCTGCATTTATTTACAAAAGTCATTAAACAGATTTCGTTTAGCTGCAAAATGTCTACAGTGTCAAAAAATATATATATACATATGTATGTGATATGTTTTCAAGTGGTACCATAATTAATTTACCTCTTAGCGCAGCCAACGTGCATTATATGGATAGACTGAAATTTTCTTAAAACACATTAGGAAAAGTCGGGGAATTTCATTCGCCTGTTTAAGTGGCAACCCTTACTGACAATAAAACTCAATAGACTACGAGACACTCGATAGACCTGCTATCGATTAACGAGACACTCAATAGATTATGAGATACTATCTGTCTACTCCGTGTACCAGCAGGGTTTATGCAGCTTTCGGCCTGCCTTCAAGAACATTCTGGGCCAAACTGGTAAGAATTCATTCTAAAAGGTTCTCTGTCTATGGTGTGTCACCAAATGGGCAGTTTCTCGCCAAATATGGTAATCCTAAACCCACCTTGTGGGGAAGCTACCTTGCTGCAGCTGGGCATTTTGTAACAAAATATGTGTGTGTGCACATACATGGATTTAGAATTTTGCAGTTATATGTTAAGGAAATAATTTAGTTATATTTGTAGCCTTTTTTTTTTTTCCTTTATGAAGCAATTCTCAGTAGCAACCTGTCACATTCATAAGGCCATATCTTTATTTTGAACATCTAACAAAATTCATTTGCTGCAAGATGCATATTTTTCATTACTGTGGTTGAATTTTTATTACTGAAATTTGTAGGAAGTTCTTGGGCTCCTGATTTTCAGAATTATTACCTTTACATTCTGTACAAAAATTTATCCAAATCTATCAAAATATAAAAAATAGTTAAAAATTTCTCTTATATGATCTCTGTTCTGATGTCAAAATAGTTGTTAACAAAAGTTGGTTAAACTAGACTTATTCGGTGATTAATTTAGTTATAGATTTTTATCTGTTAATAAATCTTGAAGAGTTTATGGTAACTATAGCTTTACTTCTTAAATAGATTTTATCTATAATCTTTCCCTGTGCATTCAGGTTAGCTTTGTCATGCACATAGTTATGCTAAGTATGGAATCAATACTATCTTCCAATGTAGCAGATAGAATACATCCGGTGAACAAATTCGTGCAGGAATAGCAACTCAAGCATTTACATCATGACTATGCTGTTTGTTTTATAGAATGTAGATTGGAAAGGTTACTATATCCCCTGCTATGTTTCCATTTGTAATATAATTCAGTTGTATATGAGATAATGTTTATAGATAATAATGAATAATGAATTGGCGTAAATTTACCACTGTTAAGGGGACGATTTAAGTATAATTATGATATCTGATTGTAACAAAAGTTTTCCACCAAAAAATTTTCTTAATAAAGTTAGAAAAAAAAAAGAAGCATGAAAGCAGTACCTTTAGCATGGGTAGTAATCACCACCCAAATATATGATTTTCTGCCAATGTTTTGGTATTTTTTCAAAGCCTTTGGCCCAGAAACTTGGTGGCCGCAAGTCCTGAAACATATCAATCTCATTTCTGACGTCCTGTGCAGAATGGATTATAACACCAGCAAGATTTAGCTGTGACAACCCACTGTCAATGAATAATAACAAAAAATCGTTCATTGTGCTAAAAGTGAAGAAAATGACAAAATAATAATTGAATGAGTGATACAGCATTGCAGCAAGAACATGCCATTGATATGCCCAATGTGCAAATTCTGTGTCACAATGAGAAATGAGCAAATTTTAAAACTGCTGTAATGAAAGTTTCAAATGATGCAAAATACACTTGAATAATGTGCAGTTAAATTTGTTGAACTCATTATCACTGGAATGTTGTCTGCAGAATAAATTATTACGTTGAAGAAACTGGTCTTTTCAGGTAATGTGTCTCCAGAAATACCATGGCTACAACTGCAGAAAAAATCCTAATTAGTATCCAAGATTCTAAAGCAAGACTTTTGCCTGTGCAAATGGTGTAGGAACTCAGAAATGTAAGTTTTCATAATCAGAAAAATATATGACTTCGGACATTTAAAGATGTAAAGATTTTCCCTATTGTTTAAATAAAAAATCATGGACAATAAATGTTTGGTTTTGTAAGTCCTGTCATACCCAATTCTCATTTGGTTTACCGGATAATGCAAAAATCGTCAATTATAGACAGCTGTTTGACACATACTTTATTTAAAATTTGAGTAAGAGATAACATCCCCATATTGTATTTTTCTTCAGACTGTATATTCATCACTCAGTCATTGAATATTGTAGTGATGCATGCACTGAAATGCAGATATAGACTTTTAAATTGTTGCTAAATTTCTGAACGATGGCAAGACCAAAAACTTTTTAAGTAATTTAATATAAAATCTGCTTTGTGATTTATGACCAGCTATGTGGTTTATTTCAGCATATTTCATCATGGTGATGATAGCTGTGAATTTGAAGTTTTCGGACATCACAAGCGAAAGACGAAATTTTTGAATTAATGGAATTTTTGAAAGAATAAAAGGTAATAATAAGTGAAAATGCTATAATGGTAGTTTTTCATTTCAATGACAATGCCATAATCAGTCATCTAATGAATGGTGAAATGATTAAGTCCATAAAATGTTGTTATCTGTAGTAAAGAAAATGAGAAAAAGTAGCTGAGAATTAAAAGATATCGGCTGGCAGTTCAGTAGAAAGTCTTGTCACAACAATTAGTAGAACTTCGTTAATGAAAAAGAAATTATGCTCATCTATAAAATGAAAGAGAAAGAATTAACATAAAAACAAAAGAACCTAAGCAACTTGCATTGAAAAAAATGTTGAGCAAAACAATCAAATATTGAGCTTTTGGTACTTTTCCGTTTTGCCGGCACACGTGATAAAGTCGCCAGTAATGGTACAGTTGATGTCAAACAGAATATCCTCGTTGGTAACCTTTTACAACACACTTTCAAAATAAGTCGCAGCCATTTCTTATCAGATTGATTGTTTCTTTCAATGCTGGCATACAATAACATAGAATTTTTACCAGATAGTTCAATTTTATGCCCTAAGGACATTCCCGGTAATTAAGTCAATTAAGATGCAATCACACTGCTCACCTGAAGGCAAAAATATAGAAAAGGCAAAGTCAAGTGCACTAGTGAAGTAAAGCACTGTGGTTTTGCATAACTTCTGAGTAAGCTATTCGTACAAATTGAAATAATTCTTGCATTTTCTTGAATTTGTTTTGTATTGGCATCATGTTATGCAACATCATGTAAATTATGCATATAGCTTGAAATCGAAGTTTCCAATTTAGAGACTTGCTGAAGTCATTTCATCATGTGGTTCAAAAAGTTTCCTTTCAAATTTTCATAGCTGCCATTAATGCATTTAAGTTGCTGTTAAGAGGTCCATTCAAATAATTTCCAAAAATTTAGATTTCCCATAAATTTAGATTTCCCATAAAAGATTTGTGCCAAAATGCACTTATAAATTCCTGAAAGTAAGCAAAAGGGAAACATTTAATTATCTTGAATTTAGACATAGTGGAAGAGTTCACTTTATCAATATAAAGATGGAGGATGACTATGCTATGGCAAACATAAGTATACATATGAACATGAAAATTTACAAATACACTTTCTTCAACACCAGAGAAACGGGTGACAATGTTTGTTAACGTGGAATAGTCCATGAAAAATTTTCGTTGTCATTTCAAGAATCTTTTCATCACCTATGCTTTTAAATTATTCTCATAATCTGTATTTAATGTTTTGCCATTTTTCTTTAAGAAGGATGCTTAAATTTTTCAATGACGTCTTTTCCTTGCTCTCAGTTTCAATAACAAAAAAGAAATTTTAAGTTTTTCCCCCTCACTTCTGCACAATCTTTTAAGGCCATTGCATTTTCAAAGTTTCAGCAATATAATAGTAATTCACCGTAAATGCTAATGTATTTTATAACATTGTAGCTTTCTTTTATAATATTTTGTTTCCAACATGATATGTTTTTCTAATAAACACAGAGTTTTCATTTCATATCGAAATTGAAATGAATTTTACCGTGAGTTTGAGGTAGCCTTTCATCTTGTGTCTGTTTATAAGTAAGCTATTAAGGGTAATGAAACGTATTTCAATTGAATTCAGGTTGGGCTTGGGGAAACAAAATGTAGATCTTGCTCTGGCATCAAATGAATTTTATGGAAGGTACCCACAAATTTGTGGTTGCAAGGCCTCTGCTAAAAAAAAACGTGACCGTTTGTTGGATAATTTTACATCATAATTGCATTTTCTTCCTATTCTCAGTGGATTAATGTACTACAAGGAACTTGTGCACTATGCGAATCTGTTTTATTTGAATATGTTTAATACTCTTTCAGATTTCTTAACTGAGAAACTTAAATCAAGTTCATATTTGTATGTATTTAAATGAGTCTTTTATGATCTGTAATGGCATTTTTCTTATAGATATGATACTGAATTTTCTTTAATTTCAGTACATATGTGAAATATCTCTGTTAGATGGAGATCCATTTTTGAAGTTTCTACCCAGTGAAATAGCAGCCTCATCATTAGCTTTAGCAAATCTTAAACTGGGATCTAGTGCTTGGGTAAGTACATAATTCTAAACTTTCTAAAATGATTGATATTTTTTCCTTGAACTTGCAAATTTAATTTATGTTGCTTCAGGATGAAGAGACTAAGCAAAACCTTATCATGTATGAGACAGCAAATGTTGCATATTGATATTCATTGTTATCAATTTTAGAATTTGCTTTTATTTTGTATGTATCGATAACTTAGAAATTTGTTTTTATATAGAAAAAAATGCATTATGAGTAACTCTTGATAATAAGAATGTCTAAAAGTTCTAAAATTGTTTCAGTTCAAAATAAAATATTTAGTTAACGACTATAAGAATCTTCTGTGTTTCTTCTTGTGAGAAGTTATAACAAATTAATTGGAGTAAATACAAAATAAGCTTGGTATGATTTGAATTTAGACATTAAATATGTGTGCCTTTTAGTTTCTGATGAGCTTTGATATTTTATTATGGATGCGTTAAAGTCACAGTGTAAAACTTTGCATACAATATTTATGAATGCAACAAACTATTGCCAAAGAAATTACAAAAATGAAAGTAAAACATGAAGTACCGTTCGGTGCTTGAGATTTGGACAAGGACATTACACTCTGTTTTGTCCAGATTCGGAGAAAGAATCTGCTTTTCAGGCAAATTTTACAGAAACGGAATGCACTTCATTGTTTACAGAAGGAACCTCTCGGGAAGTCTATCCAAAGACTATCTTGATTAAAATTTGCCCAAATGGAAGCGAAGTTGCTGTATGTACACTGCTGGATGAGGGTTCACATCAACCATACATCGAAACGGGATTAATAAAGGAACTGAAAGTGTCTCCTACAGGTATAGAAATGCTGTCACATAAGTTATTTGGGGGTGAAATTATTCCTGCTCTAGATCACAGAAGGTATGATGTTACAGTAAAAAAGTTTAGATGAAAGGTTTTCCATGAAAATTTCTTTTTTGGACCAGCTTAAAATTTGCGCCACATTACCTAGAATTTATGATATTTTTCTAATTTCAGAACTTAAAGTTCGTAGAATATCACAGAAGTTGGTGATAATACACCAATACGAGTTCTTCTTGGTGAAGATATTTTAGGGAGTGTTTTTACCTGAAAGAATTCAGGTATTATCTATCATTAGGAGTTTCAGCTGTAGAGACCTTGGTTGGCCGGACCATTCTAGTCTTGGAAAGAAAAGAGAAGTAGTTAATAGAGAAGTAGCTAAAAAAACTCTCAGGCGAAAGAGATGTGAGAGTTGGGAATTTTGGGTATTCATGATCTGCTTGAACAGAAAAGCAAAAGGGTGCTAGAAGATGAAACTTTAATGCATTTCAAGGGAATTTCAACTGTTAACAATGACAATCATTATGAGGTGACTTTGCCTTGGATAGTGGGGCATCCTCCTCTCTATGATAACTACGGTATAGCTGAAAACAAGCCTGAAGTCTTATAAAATAGTTACAAAGAGAAGACTTTTGTGACAAATATCATGAAATTTTATTGCTGTGAGAGAAAGAAGGCATAAAAGAAGAAATAGAGCCATCTGCCATCAAGATCTTTCATTATTTTCCTCATAGACTGTAAATTTATCAAACATAACCACAATGATCCACTTTGTATTCGATGTCTCTGTAAGACTGCTATCACACGTTGGTTTACTTCGGAAGAACAACTGTTTGGAATTTTTCTGCTTTGTCACAACAGCCAATCACCATAGATCACTTTGGGGTTAACATGGGGAAAACTGGTTCTCCATTACAAACAAGCTGATAGCTGATTAGTTGAAAATGAATAACTTGCAATTTTCTTGGAAAGGAAGGAAAAAAGTCGCACGTCTTTCTTTCAAAAAACCAGGCACAAAAATTGTCCAAAACAGTTGTTCGTGTGAAACAAATGCCGTGTGATATGGCCTTAAAGGTTGTTTCCTTAACCCTGCTGTTATGTTCGGGTCTCTATGACCCAGTATAAAATTTACACATTCGTAAAAAATATAGTACAGGGGTATTTTAATGAAACTTCTTGACATTGTTGGTAAATAATATAAATATGTACTCCTAGAGGGATTTATGTTTTTGTATTTCGAAGGAATATTTTTCAATTTATACCTAATGTATCGTTTGGTTCAATATGACCCAATGCAAAAAATCGTTTATTTTTACTCATGCATGGTCACTTTTGTTTGTTATAATTCAAAAAAAATTTATAACAATAGTTTCTGTAATTTATTCATTTTCGAAACCTGTTTCATTGACGATGTGTTTGGTCACATGACAAGAGAGTGCATGCAGGGTAAAAAAGTTGACATGATTCGTACAGAGCCAAACTATTTGCTCTTATTGAAACGTTTCTCCTTTTTTTTCCCCCTGCTATATTTCACTTTCTGATATACCGTAATTTCGCACGTATAGTCCGCACCATCGTATAATCTGCAGACACGATTTTATATAAAAAAAATTTCAAAAATCGTCAGATAGTCCGCGGACTATATGTTTTTTTAATACGGCAATATTCCCATGCTTTTTAAACACATCCTTTTGTTTGCGCCAATTTCTCACCGCTTTCTCGTCCACTTCAAAATAACAGGGTAAAATCCTAGTATATGGTGGAGCCTTGGAGTGACTTTGAAAATTATCGCCAACATCAAAAATGATCCAAAGAACGTCTATATATATATACTATACACACATAGTATATACTATGTTTATCTATATATTTTCTTTGAATGACCCGTTAACTAAATCATCGTATATGTCCCGTTTTCACTGCTCATCATAAAGTTGCCAAAAGTAGTCAAAACCCGTTTGCACCGGATACTAGGATTAAACCAATAACGGCCCGCTTCTCTATTTCCATCTTTTTCAGCTTTCTCAACTACCTTGAGTTTAACTCAGTAGTAAAACTCCGGTGATGTTTCATCAACGTTATCGAAGATGAAAGACAAAATATGAAAACAAAATACTGTGCAACGTGCTATCCTCGTGATAAGTGGTAATGAAATGTGACCTTCGACCCCACTCACTCGGTGTTGCCAAACCACGCTATAAGTAAACGAATCATGCTTTTTTTTCGTACTCCAGGTACTTCCTACTATGGCTCCTAAAACAGCTGACGCATCAACTACTTTTCCCCCCTTCCGGCAGTTGCTCTAAAGCAGTGCGAAGGATACTGGGATACAAGACTGGTTGCGCTAAGTGAGTGCTCATACAAGACTTTCTTTGGCTGATATCCCGGCATCGCATGATGCGCCAGCCTGGATTGTAGGAGCTGTACTTGCTACTACTCATTCGTTCTGTACTATGCTCGATGGTTTACTATCGATACGATACATACGAATGTTTTCTTGGAATCTCGCGCTTTTTTTATATTTGATCATCGGCAGTTCACGACAGCGTGTTTTTTAAGTTTCAACGATTTTAACCTTGAACAACCAGCGTATTACCCGCACTGGTGGATAGTCCGCAGCTTCAAAAATTCGCATTTTAAACACAGATAGTCTGCGGACTACACGTGCGAAATTACGGTACTGTAAAAAAGTTGTGCCCGTAATGTGAGACAAAGAATGGTGAATCAGATAAATTTCAGTCACGCTGATGTAGTCACGCAGTCAAAAGTCATTAATCTGGACACCCATAATGTGGAATGATCTATAATCCGGACCTCAAAGCTACAAACTTTCTGCGCGTGCGTCAACGCATGTCTGAACAGGAAATCAATTCAAAATATGGCCACTGTAGAGGAACAGAACCTTGTCATAAAAACATGCATAGCAGATGACAGTTCTATGTAGATGAAAACATCACAGGATGTATGTCTTTGTGCTGAAGTTGATATCAAATTCCTCACATTAATCTGCAGAGGTGGGAGAAATCCCAGTGTCCAATCGTCAGTCAGGCGAATTTCTAAAGAATTTTCCAATAATTTCAGAAGAGATTCATATAAACAAAATCTGCAAATGTTATTCAAATCACATTTGAGACGGGAACAGGATGGTGGTGGAAGTGTATCTGTTGATTTAGTAGAGTTACTGCTTATTAAGGCAGTCTTAAGTAGGCATTGCAAATGCTCTGCCATACCCATGCACTTAAAATTACAAGCTGTAATTTAATTTTTAATGGAACCTAAAAATTTGACTTGAAATTTGCTTCCTCGATCTGTTGTGATCGTTTCAGGAACTCCAAAGTGCAATACTCCTCCGACAGGAAATGCATTGCTAATTGTCATTTAAATGGAAAGCTTCAGGTCATGTAGTAAATCAATAAATGTGTAGCAAAATGTGCACAAAAGAGGGTGGAGATCCTAAACATTGATCTGCTCATGACAAGAATGATTGCAATGTAATGGAAAATTTCTGAAAGATGATTTACTACAACTTTGAACAGTAGGCTTTTGGCACTACAAAGAAAATTTATACCACTGCCTAATATCTGCTACCATAGAATTCCATACAAACTGTTTTTTAATAAAGTATTGATTTAAGACCAGGATGAGACATCCCATGTACTGTCTGTCTACGGCAAGAACAGCTCCCGCCACGGTGTCTGGCGGGTGGCGGTTGCTATAGCAACAGGGCTAGTATATTTCAAATAGGGACGAACCAAGGGTTGCTTTATTGTTATTTTGTGTTTTTGGTGACTGTTGGTTGAGGGTTAAAAGAGTTTATCATTCGTCTTCTCGGTTTCATTCTAGCTGCACCCATCTTTTCTTAAGCCTTATATTATTACTAGTAGCTATTTTTATTCTCACTGTTATACCTTTTATACTAGTATTTGTTCAAATTTGCTTCTATTTAGCTTGATTTTTGTAGTGCTTTGTTAATTGCCAATTTTTTTAAATGCCTTTCCAGTTTAAGAAAGGTCAACCTTTGAAGTCTCAGGAAGGTCAAATCATGTACAATGTCGTAGAATTTTGTGCTTCTGAAGCTTCGGTGAACTCTTTAGTAGTTCCTCTTCCTCAAGTTTTGAAGAGAACATCGCAAGGTACTGGAGTATCGGAGTATACAATTAAAAAAATTAAGCACGAAGTAT